CCCGAAGGCCCGGCCCTGCTCTTCGGGTGGCCGCCGTTCTTCCCGCCATGCCACCCCGAGACGTCCGCGAAGGCCCGGCTGGGGCTTCTACCTAGGTCTTCCCGATGGAGTCAGGAGGCCGCCGCCATCGTGGCGCTTCCTGTGGCGGGGAAACGGTCGTCGCAGGATGGCGGCTCGGCGGGCTCAGTGGCTGCTCCGAGGCCTTGGACTCCCGGTGTCCCCAGGACGGAGACAGAGGCTACTCCCGGGCCCCCCGGCTCACCCGGCATAGGCCGGAGGCCTTGGGGGGCCCGGGGAGAGGAGGCCGCAGTCCGCAGCTCGCCGCGTTCTCTGCCGGAACTGACTTGGCAGTTCTCCCAAAGTCTCTCTAAAACATACAAAATCTCTCTAAATTCTCCAGCCTCTATAAAACTCCAAAGTCTTATTATTTAAGTTCTAATTCTTTTGACTGCAGGCTTCTATAAAATACAATTTAAAAAATACTTAAATACTTTCTTAATGCAAGAAAAAACATTCAGGGTACAGCAAGACCAAATCAAAATTCAACAGTATAAAATGTTCAGTGCTGGTTGACAGGGACCCACTCACTATCTTTTAGGCTCTAAATGGCTTTGGCAATTCCACTTCTCTAGCTCTGCAACCTACAGTAAACACAGACTGTTTCCTATACATAAGTTCACTCCACTTTACAGCTGCTGCTGTTCTTGGTGGTCATCCCACGGTACTGATATCTCCAAAATTCTAGGGTCTCTGCTAGGAATGGATTATGCCTTTACCAGTAGATTCTCTTCAGCTCCCTTCAGGGAACCTCACCCTGCCAAATGGTGCCAAACCTCAAATTTCTTCCGTGACCTCTTCCTGGAACTTCTGTTGCAACTGAACTGTGCCTTTGCCTTTAGACTTTCCTGTCCTCTCACCTTGCCAAGGCTCAGATTTACTTCATGATTCTTTCATGTCTTCAAAACCCAGTGCCTTCTGGATGCTGCCAGCAGGAGGTACAACGTTGATCCCTACAACTACAGATGCTGTGTGCTGACCCTGAGAGAAAACTTCCCCAAAGATTTCACCTGAAAGATAATGGTGTTTTCCCAATTACAACTGATTATTCCAATTCTTAATTCAAATTTCCATTTAAATGGCCCTAATTGTTAAAGGGCCTCTGAAACTCCACAACATAGGCATGATAAAACACCCTGACCATGAGCTACATGGGGAAGAAAAATGTGCATTTGGCTTACACTTCCACCTCACAGCCCATCCTCAAGAAAGATAGAAGGAACTCAAGACAAGAACTGAAACAGAAGCCACGTGGAGTTCCATGTACTCATTTGCTCCTCCTAGCTTATTCAGCCTACTTTTTGACACCACTTGCCTAGGACTGGCTCCACCACCCTTCCCCTGTGAGCTGAACCCTTCCACATCAATCATTAACCAAGAAAATATACTGTGGACTTGACTACCAGCAAATCTTACAAAATGATATTCTCAAATGAGAGTCCCACTTACCAAATGTCTCTAACCTATGTCAAAAAAATGACATAAAACTAAAGAAAATGTGTACTTAAGGGATCCAATTTCCTATTGATGAAACATTGTCCATTCATTTATGGTAAACAGAGCTAATGTGTTACACCAAGTCCACTGTTAGGTGGAGGGGCCTGTCAAGTATACTTCTGGAAACCAGTTTGAGTTATTCTTCATTCCATAGCCCATATTTCAGTTCATGTATTGTTTAATCGATCTTCCTTTTGTTCCAACTATTCTCCATTTGGTTCCTGAAGATAACGGGATTCAGCAGACTTTTTTTTCTACCTACAGTCTCATAACATGCTGACTATTACTTTGGGCTACACCGTGGTACACCTCATAAATTAAATAGGACAATAGAACTCATTTAATTTCTTGATTTTGTACTCAAAACACTGTTTGAGGCTATTGCTTCTAATCAAAAAGAAAGTTCTGTAGGGTACATTTTTATGTTTTACTCATAACTATGACACTAACAGTGAGCACCAAAGTTGCTTCTCAATTTTAATAATCATGATTGATGTTGTGAAAGCCAAAGCTTACAACAGGTACCATTCTTTATATACTTTCTTGCAGCTATGTCTAATATGTATGCCTAGAAGAGGGATTTCTTCATCATAATATTTAGCTTAATACTCCCACATTGTTCTCTATAATTGTGTGCATCTGTACACACATTTCTGTTTTCTCATGTCACTGCCACCTTACATTTTTTTAAGAAGAGTATAGTCAGAGAGTGACATTTTTATTTTGCTCGCATGTATCTTGTTTATTATAAGTTAGAGCATCTCTTCCTATCCATTTTGGTTTAATATGTCATGTGTTTATATATACTGAGCATTTCTCTATTGATCATCCTAATCATTTTCTTATCAATTTGTAGGGATTCTATATATGAGGACTATAAACCTGAGATATTGCAAGTATATTCCTTAAAGTTGACATGTCTTATTTTAACTAAAATGCAGTTTAATAAACAGAACTATTTCAACTTTAACATAATCAAATTAATCAATTTCTTTCCTATTTGTCCAAGGTTTTTTTTAGAGCTTTAGCAGTATTTGTATAACTTATTTTTATTTGAAATTTTTCATGCAATGTATTGCTGTTCCTCCCTTGGGGTGTGGGGAGGTCAAAGAGCCTGCCATTGAGTTCATGTCAGAAATAGTCCCTGTTCCCCTTACTTCCTGAGCTACCATGGCCTACATCCAAGCAGAGGTTCTAGGTTATATCCATACATGGTCCTTGGTTAGAGTATCTTTATTTGCAGATGATATCATAGTATATACAAATAACCCTAAAATTCCACCAGCTAAAAAACATGTTCAGAAAACTAGCAGGATGGAGAATTAAGTCACCAAAACCAGTAACTTTACTATAACTTCTATATACAAATGACAGATAGACTGAGAAAATAATCAGGAAAACACCCCCTATCACAATACTATCAAAAACATAAAATATTATGGGTTAACTCTAATCAAGCAATTGAAAAACCTATATAATAAAAATTTTAAGACACTGAAGAGAGAAACTGAAGAAAATATTAGAAGATAGAAATGATCTCACATGTTCATGGATCACTATCATTAATATAGTGAAAATTGTGATCCTACCAAAAGCAATCTACAGATTCATTGTAGTTCCTATCAAAATTCCAATATAATTCCTTACAGAACTGAAAAGGACAATTTTTAGCTTCATATGAAGATACAATAATCCCAGGATAGCTAAAACACTCCTGAATAATAAAAGAAGTGCTGAAGGACTCACCATTCTGACTTCAAATTACACCACAGAGTTATAGTAAGAAGCCAGCATAGACAAAACTTACCTGACAGATGTATCTATCCTGAGTCTCAAAGGACCAGCATATCTATCAAGAATCTAGGCTATTGTTCTTTCTTCCTGTCAATTTGTAAGTAATATATGTAACTTTATTCGCTGAAAAAAAAAATCTGACAGAGGAGAAAGTATGGAATATGTTTGAATATACAGGCACAGGAAAGCCTTTTAAGCTAAATCTCTTCTTTTTTATTAAATTTTTATTTTTTATATTAATTAAGTTTATTCACTTTGTATCCCAGCTGTAGGCCCCTCCTTTATTCCCTCCCAATCTTACCTTCCTTCCCTGTCTCTTCTCCTCCCATTCCCCTCTCCAAGTCCACTGATAGGGGAGGTCCTTCTCCCCTTTCATCTAACCCTAGCTCATCAGGTCTCATCAGGATTGGCTGCATTGTCCTACTCTGTGGCCTGGCAAGGCTGCTCCTCCATCAGGGGACAGTGATCAAAGAGCCAGCCACTGAGTTCATGTCAGAGACAGTCACTCTTCCCCTTATAGGGAACCACTTCATTATTTGAATGAGGAGGCATCCTACAAAACATGTAAAAATGTTTACAACTATTTGTTTAACTGAGTGTTAATATCCACACTATACAGAGAACTAAAAAAAAAAAAAAAAAAAAAAACCAAAAAAACAAAAAACTAAAAGTAAGGAAAAATAAGAAACCAACTTTAAAATGTGGCATGGAACTAAAAAAGTTTGCATAAATATAAATGCCTGGTGATGCTGTGTCATAAACCAGATCTTGTTTATATTCTTTAATCCTTAGAACATTAGAATCACCAGAGGGAGCTCTTATCCTTACCCATCAGGGAAATGCAAATTGAAACTTCTTTGAGATGTTACATCTTACCATGGTTAGAACTAAGATTAAAAATAAAACAAACAAAAAAAAAAGTGGGGAGCAGAACACTTACTCACTGCTCGTGGGAGTGCTGACCACTGCAGCCATTATGGAAATCAGAGAGGAGGTTCCTCAAAGAACTGTAAAAGTTCTACCTTACAACCTTGTATACTATTCAACATGGGGTTTTGAATGTATGGATTTTATGGTTTCCAAATTCAAAATGTATGTGTTGTGACCTACTTCATATATAATTTTACATGAACACTCGAAACCTATTCTACTGAGTTTGAAAAATAGTAAACATTTTTCTATAACAATACTCAAAATGGAGCACAACAGATCTCTCGAGTATATCTTTTGTACAAGACTTAAATTTTATGTCCTTTGACTAACTGAAGGGTGCTAATACTGACGATAACAGCTGTTTTTACTAACATTTAGTGACTGAAAAGTCCTATGAATCTGTGGGAAATCTGAAACAATAAAATTGTTCAGCATCCTAAATGTCAATAGTATCCTAATGAAAAACAAAATGGTTTAAGTCGTTTTAGGATACAGAATATGATGTACAGAAAGGGTAACTTGTATACTTATATAGTCACATGTAAACATGAATATGTCCCTGGAAAATGAGGTTGATGGTTTCCTGATAAGTACAAATGTGTTATATTGTGTAAGTTCAGTCTATGATCTTATTTTGAATGGTGGGAGACAGAGTATGTGTCCTGATTGTGTTGTTTTAAATTCCTCTTTTTTTTTCTTCCAATTTTTGATGATTACAGCTGAGTTTGGTGATTACTATCCTGATGAACATCCTGAGAATTATATCAGTGAGTTTGAGATTTTTCCCAAGCAATCACAGAAGTTGGAAAGAAAAATCAAGGAAATTCATAACAATGAACTCAGGTAATTTGAGTGGAAATATAAAGAAAAGCATTCTTACTATGTAAAAAGTGAGAATCATGTGAAGCCAAAGTATTTGAAATCTAAATAGATAGCTTCATGTTGCAGGAAAACATTTCTGGGCTCCACAAAGGATGACTTAGCATTTCAATAGTGTAAGATTTTTTTTTCCAAAATAGGTGCCTGTGAATGATCAAAATGTAGAGAAGCTATGTATTTTATTATACAAATACATTACTAACCCTTCTGAGTTTCTGAAAATGAATCTTAGGTTTATAAGCCATCATCTTTATTTTAACCTTGCTTTTTTTGTGTGTGTGTGTCTCTTGCTAGAAGTGTTGACTTTAAGTAGAATTAACGTCATTGAAAAGGTTCCATTTTCTGATTTCAAGATAATGAAGCAATATATGTTACTCTTTTGCTTGTCCCTAATGAAATGATGATGCACACAACAGATATTATATGAAAGAAGTTTATTGGATAGAGATGGAGAGAGACAGAAAGAGAAAGAGAGAACGAGACATGATGGGGGTGAGGGGCCACCTGGATAGATAAAGGGACCGTAAGAGAGAGAAGAGAGCACAAGAGCAAGAGAGAGACAAAATGGCTGTTTGGTCCTTTTATAGTTCTGTGCAATTGAACTGCTCCTGCCGGGTGCATCTACCTGGTGGGTGACACATGATGACATCATAGGTTACTAGGCAACCCAGAAGCAGGCTGCCTAAATACTAACACCTAACACTTCACAATAATAACTCTAGAGAAATAATTGTCAAATTGAAGAATCAAATTGAATAGGATATCACTGAGTACCAGACACCATTGCTATTGTACACATTGCACACACTGACCCAATTAATCTTCACAAGAATGTAGGAAGGAGATACTATGGTTGTTTTTCCATTATGTGTGTAGGAGCTTGGTCTAAAGAGGTTAAATAATGTATACATTTCTGGGATTTGAATTCAAGCATAAATAAATGGAACAAATGAAGCTTAGGAACATTGCCAACTTGGAATTCAGGTAACTTAGGTTATATTAACTAACTACAGTTAGTTGGAACTGAGATCGTGTACAAATCACAGAAGAATTATATAGAATTATATAGCAGTAGCATAGAAGACAGTGCTATGTTGATTATGAAGAACTGCATACTGGTTTCTCTCTCCTCCTGTGGTCTGGGCCTCTAGTAATCAAGAAAGTAGTCCAAAGGTCACACTTTGTTTTGTTTTTGTTTTGGGAGTTTTATTATTGTTTTGTTTTGTTTTGTTTTGTTTTTGATTATCATAGTAGATGTTTGGCTACCCAAAGTGGCAGCATATTTCAACTTTAAAAAGATAACCTCTATTTTCAAAATACTTAGACAACATAGCTTTATACTAATTCCCAAAACACTATATAAAAATTTGAGAATCATCTTCTTATCTTAGAAAATCATCTTCTGCTTCTTCTTCTCCTCCTCTTTTTCCTCCTCCTCCTCTTCTTTTTCTTCTATGTTCTTTTGAGATAGGATTTCTCCATGTAGTCTCGGCTGTCCTAGAACTCACTCTGTAGACCAGGCTGGGCTTGAACCCAGAAAAATCCCCCTGTTGGTATACTTTAAAAGAAAACCCTTTTATTTACATTTTTTTCTTTTTCTCCCTACTCCATCCCTATTCCTTCCAACAGCCCAACACCAGGTAGGAGAGTGAAAGTGTTAATGGGAGAGGGGTGAAGTTCTTTCTTAGCGGCTTCCTGCTTATCAGGGTCTTTGGGTTCCTTGAAGCCAGTCCACTTCTCATTTCAGGAGATCTCCATCTTCTTGTTTCACAACATCAGCTAGGAGCAGCAAGAGGGAAGCAGGAGCAGCATCATTCTTTCTCTCATTTCCACATTCTCTGGGCGCTAGCATTTATTATCTCTCCACAGTCCTCAGATTTAAACTATCTGCAGCTGCAGAGAGCTCATCTCAGAGCCCGCATTAGGCAAATAGTCTGCTGCTGTGGAACATCTGAATCAGTCTCATATCCCACACCTGAGACCAAAACAAAAACATGTTTATATCCACAAAATCCTCCTGCCTCTGCCTTCCAAAGAAATGTTTTGGAAATAGATACAAAATATTTACTACTCTTATGTTTTGAAAATAAATGTTGGGGTTCTTCTTCTTTCTGTGTGATACTGGGGATTGAACCTAAATCATCAAGCATGATAAGCAAGGGTTCTACTATGAAACTGTATCTGCAGCCCTTTTTTAACTTTTAATTTTAATCTGACTAAATTGTCCATTATAATCTAGAACTCTCTATATAATCCATGTGGGCATTGAACTTGTGATCATCTTGCTCAGCTTCCAGAGTAATTGGGATTCCAGGCCTATACCATAAGACTTAGATTTCATTATTCTGTTTTTCTTTCTTTCTTCTTTTCTTTCTCACGTTATCTTTTTTCTTCCCCTTTTCTTAGTAGAGGGTAGTTTTTAGGGACATTTAGGAACATATCAAAATTAAGAAGACTATAGAGAACTTGCCCATATGCTCACCTTCTGCTCCCATGCATGGTTATTCCTTTATATTAGGGGTATCCCTGTCTGGAGAGTAAGACTAATTACAATTAAGGAACCTAAATGAATGACACACTATAGTCAATCACACTATAATTAACATAAGGGATCATGCTGAGTATATATTCTATGTATTTACACAAGTATATTATTATATATAAATCCATCATTATGGGATCATATAAAATAATGTCTGTTTTTAAAATTATTCCTATCCGTAACAACTTCTAGAAGCTATCAATCATTTTACTTTGTCTGTGGTTTTGACTTTTCCAAAAATCATTGTTATAATTATAATCTGTAGCCTTTCATCCACTTAGTAATATACATTTTATATTTCTGCATTGTTTTACAGAATTTTCTGCAAAGTTTTCACATCCTCTGACATGTTTGTTTACTTACCGAACCTCATGTTCCCACCACCTCCTTCCTTGGGGGAGGGTTTATATCTGGAGGAAATTGCTAAACAATTTGATATGGCACTTCATTTACTGAAGTTGTTAATAGACCACAACAGCTCTGAAGGAGCCCTTGAGATCAGTGATATTTGTGTACACACACTCTACACTTTCTTAGCATACAGCCATATTGTAACTATTCAGCTCTGCTTTTTTAGGGATTAGAGTATATATAAAAGAAATTATAAATGAATTAGCCATAATCATGACTGAATGAGACTTTTTTGATTAAAATGTAGAGTCATGCTTGCCCACTAGACTGATTTTGCTGACTCGTGTTGTAAATATGTAAATGTTTGACTAGAATCAATTTCTACTTTACTCACCTGACTGTAGATCATTTAAGTCAGCAAAAGACACATTTGTTTTTTATATACAAAAAAAAATCTCCTTTTAGTTTATAAATATCATTAAGTTTGATGTACATAGGTCAAGTCCCAGATCAATTTAAAATAGCTTATTTGTGAAAAAGAGAGAGTGGGTTGACTTACCATTTCAGAGACTTTCAGTCCATGTCTTATTCAGAATTATATTGCTGTAAAGAGACACCATGACCACAGCAACTCTTATAAAAGAAAACATTTGATTCAGCCTGGATTATAAATTCAGAGGTTTAGTCCATTATAATCATGGTGGAAAGTATGGTGGCATGCAGACAAACATGGTGCTAGAGCATGTCTGAGAGTTCTTCATCTGATAAGCAGGCAGAGAGAGACACACTGGGCCTGGTGTGAGCATCTGAAACCCCAAAGCCCATCCTAGTAACAGGCTTCTTCCAATAAGGCCACACATAGTCCAGCAAGGTCACACCTCCTAATCCCTGTCAAATACTGCCAATCCCTGACCAAACATTCAAATCTGTAAGATTATGGAAGCCCTTTTATTCAAACCACTATAGTCCATTATAGTAGAGAGCTTATAGTGGAGTAGACTAGAACATCCAAAAGAGGGGTGAAAGAAAAAAAAGAAGTAGGGGAAGACAGAGCCAGACAGACAGAGATAGAGAGAGATTCATTGATTTCTTCCTTTCCATCTTGTTTTCTCTTTCTGACCCTGCTACATAGGATTGTGCATCTCACAATAGTTAACCCTTCCCAGCCTGCCTTTACAGACATACTAAGAAGTAAATCTTATCAATATCCTAGTATCTTCTCAGTCCAATCGGGTTGACAAATTAAGCTATTATTGATGGTCTGGGTAAGGTTTTCAACTGATTCACAGTCAAGGTAGGATTCCCCATTGTTTTTTTTTTTTTCACTTCTTCATCACCTAATGCCTTGAAAGATTTTTTTTCCCCCTAAGGATAGTGAGACATCTCAATTTGTAAAGGAATTTGCTGTTAGTCCTAACAACCTGACTTCATTTCTTGTAAGTAACAGTGGAAGGAAAGAACCAATTACTGCAAGTGTCTTCTGACCTCTCTACATGTTGTTGAATGCTCATGGCTATAAAGTACATTCATACATACATACATAATACAAGAATTTATCTAAGTGGTCATATCCATGAAACAGAAATTAATTCACTTGCTACTTTTTATTACTGAAAAAGCTATACAAACCATTCAGTGCTCTGAGCTGTTGAGAGGTCATTTGCCATAAGCAAAGTTCAGTGATAACCTGTTTCTATGCTTGAGAGGCACTTAGAGTCCACAGTAATAGTCATTATCATTATAGTCCTTGGGCTGCACTATAACCCAGATATATATACTCTGGGCCAAATAATAATTTTGTCATTTTAAACTAATGTTTCTTCCTCTAGGGTTCAAGCATCTTTGTAGCTTGGTGGTTTGGTTACACTGAGGCATGGCACCTCTGTAACATTTAATAGCAACATCTCTTTGAAAAAAATCTGAATCGTCACAATGCCTGCTTTGCCAATTCATCTTTTGCCTCCATTGGTATTACATATTAACTGCCATGTGTCATAGATTAAAAAAAAAAAAAAAACCAGAGCACAGAGAAATTACCTGATTCATGTAAGGGTATATAAATATGAAACTC